GCCACGAAGATCCCAGACTCCATCACTGAGAAGCAGTGAATGAAGTACAACTGGGTGAGGCAAGAATTGAAATCTATCTCTCTCGAATTGAACCAGAAGATGCTCAGCATTTTGGGCACAATGGACGTAGATTCCACCAGGTCAGTGACGGCCAGCATGCAAAGGAAATAGTACATGGGCCCATGGAGACTCGGCTCCATCTTCACAATGAATAGGATGGTGAAGTTCCCCAAGATGGCTATGGTGTACATGGTGCAGAAGGGGATGGAGATCCAGACATGGGCTGCCTCCAGGCCAGGAATGCCCAGCAGGATGAAAGTGGAGGGGTTGGTGAATTCGGTTGTGTTGGAATCTGACATGGAGTAGGGGAGAAGGTGACCAATACTGAAACAGAACGGTCTCTCCTGCATGTACCATATGTTCACCCAACTTCCTGTATGTGCCCAGGCTCTCAGATGATGGTCGCTGTACAAATGCCTGGATGGAGACACAATGTTAATATGAGACGCTACATATGTTATGGGAGGCTCTTCTTATGGGTGAGGGAGATTGGTCGCTCTTCACACACTGAAAAATAACATTTTCATTATTCAGATAAATTAATTATGAACAACAGACCCTACTAATGCCGATTCCATATTGTATGGGGCTCCTTGCATCAATATTTCCTACATGTCATGGTCTGAGAAACCTTAATAGGCACCAGCAGGAAACATGCTTCTGAATACTGTTTATCCATATTGTTCCTGTCAAGAACAAACCCCAACTCTGTCACTCCACCATTATTGGATCAAAGTGTTACAAATCTTAATTGAATCATACTGTACCATAGAATGTCTATGGATAGAAATTCCATGTCTTATAATAAGAATACAGCGGTAGGGATATATTACAGACCGCCTGACCAGGATTGTGATCATGACTATGAAATATTCAGGGCAATTAAACAGGCTATTAAAATAAAAAACTAATTAATAATGGGGGATTTCAACTATCCCCATATTGACTGGGTACATGTCACCTGAGGATGGGATGCAGAGATAAAGTTTCTTGACACCTTAAAGGACTGCTTCTTGGAGCAGCTATTCTTGGAACCCACATGAGGCGAGGCAGTTCTTGATGTAGTAATAAGTGGAACACAGTTCAATTTCAGAAAGGGGAACTACACAAAACTGAGGAAGCTAGTTAAACAGAAATTAATGGCAGGTTTCAGAGCAGCAGCCGTGTTAGTCTGTAACCGCAAAAAGAAGAACAGGAGTACTTGTGGCACCTTAGAGACTAACAAATTTATTAGAGCATAAGCTTTCATGCACTACAGCCCACTTCTTCATTTAATTAATTAAATTAATGGTGTACAGCACCAAAAGTGAAATCCCTGCAAGCTGCGTGGAAACTTTTTAAAGATACCATAATAGAGGCTCAACTTGAATGTATAATGGGAGAATAACATGAAGGGCAAAGGAGTCCAGGAGAGCTGGCTGTATTTTAAAGAATCCTTTTTGAGGTTGCAGGAACAAACCATCCCGATGTGTAGAAAGAATAGTAAATATGGCAGGCGACCAGCTTGGCTTAATAATGAAATCCTTGCTGATCTTCAACGCAAAAAAGAAGTAAAAAGAAGTGGAAGCTTGGACAAATGACCAGGGAGGAGTATAAAAATATTGCTCAAGTATCAGGAGTGAAATCAGGAAGGCCAAATCACACTTGGAGTTGCAGCTAGCAAAGGATGTTAAGAGTAACAAAAAGAGTTTCTACAGGTATGTTAGCAACAAGAAGAAGGTCAGGGAAAATGTGGTCCTCTTACTGAATGAGGGAGGCAACCTAGTGACAGAGGATGTGGAAAAAGCTAATGTACTCAATGCTTTTTTTGCCTCTGTCTTCACGCACAAGGTCAGCTCCCAGACTACTGCACTCGGCAGTACAGTATGGGGAAGAGGTGACCAGCCCTCTGTGGAGAAAGAAGTGGTTCAGGAATATTTAGAAAAGCTGGAAGACCACAAGTCCATGGGGCCGGAGGAACTGCATCCAAGGGTGTTAAAGGAGTTGGCTGATTTGATTGCAGAGCCATTGGCTATTATCTTTGAAAACTCATAATGATCGGGGATGACTGGAAAAAGGCTAATGTAGCGCTCGTCCTTAAAAAAGGGAAGAAGGAGGATCCAGGGAACTACAGGCCAGTCAGCCTCACCTCAGTCCCTTGAAAAATCATGGAGCAGGTCCTCAAGGAATCAATTCTGAAGCACTTGGAGAGAGGGAGGTGATCAAGAACAATCAACATGGATTCACCAAGAGCAAGTCATGCCTGACTAACCTAATTGCCTTCTATGATGAGATAACTGGCTCTGTGGATATGGGGAAAGCGGTGGATGTAATATATCTTGACTTTAGGAAAACTTTTGATATGGTCTCCAACAGTATTCTTGCCAGGAATTTAAAAAAGTATGGATTAGATTAATAGACTATAAGGTGAATAGAATGCTGGCTAGATTGTTGGGCTCAACGGGCAGTGATCAACAGCTCTATGTCTAGTTGGCAACCGGGATGAAGCGGAGTGCCAGGGGTCAGTCTTGGGGCCAGTTTTGTTCAACACCTTTATCAATGATCTGGATGATGGGATTAATTGCACCCTCAGCAAGTTTGCAGATGAAACTAAGGTGGGGGGAGAGGTAGATGCGCTGGAGGGTAGGGATAGGGTCCAGAGTGACCTAGACAAATTGAAGGATTGGGCTAAAAGAAATCTGATGAGGTTCAAGAAGGACAAGTGCAGAGTCCTGCACTTAGGAAGGAAGAATCCCATGCACCACTACAGGCTGACTAAGCAGCAGTTATGCAGAAAAGGACCTGGGGATTACAGTGGACGAGAATCTGGATATGAGTTAGCAGCGTGTCCTCGTTGCCAAGAAGGATAATGGCATATTGGGCTACATTAGTAGGAGCATTGCCAGTAGATCGAGGGAAGTGATTATTCCCCTCTATTCAGCACTGGTAAGGCCACACCTGAAGTATTGAATCCAGTTTTGGTCCCCCCCACTACAGAAAGGATGTGGACAAATTGGAGAGAGTCCAGCAGAGGGTAACGAAAATGTTTAGGGGGCTGGGGCACAAGACTTACGAGAAGAGGCTGAGAGAATTGGGGTTATTTAGTCTGTAGAACAGAAAAGTGAGGGAGGATTTGATAGCAGCCTTCAACTACCTAAAGGGGGTTCTAAAGAAGATGGAGCTCGGCTGTTCTCAGTGGTGGCAGTTGACAGAACAAGAAGCAATGGTCTCAAGTTGCAGTGGGGGAGGTCTAGGTTGGATATTAGGAAACACTATTTCAGTAGGAGGGTGGTGAAGTGCTGGAATGGGTTAAGTAGGGAGGTGGTGGAATCTCCATCCTTAGAGGTTTTTAAGGCTCTGCTTGACAAAGACCTGGCTGGGATGATTTAATTGGGGATTGGTCCTGCTTTGAGCAGGGGATTTGACTAGATGACCTCCTAAGGTCTCTTCCAAATCTAATATTCTATGATTCTATGAATCTATGACTGCAAAACTAGGAACAAAATTTTATTTAAGTTCATCTGAAGCAGGAAGCCTGCTAAACAACCAGAGGGGCCATTGTACAATCACAATGAAAAAGGGGCACTTAGGGACAATAATGTCATTGTGGAGAAACTAAATGAATTCTTTCCATTGGTCTTAACGGCTGAGGTCATAGAGCAAGTTTTGGCACACATTTATAAATTAAAAAGTAATAAGTCACTAGGTCTAGATAGTATTCACTGAAGAGTGCGGAAGGAACTCAAATGTGAAATTGCAGAACTACTTTTAAATAAGCTTCTGTACCAGATGACTGGAGCATAGCTAATGTGATGCCAATTTTTTAAAAAGGGCTCTAGAGGTGACATCAATTACAGGCCGGTAAGCCTGACTTCAGTACTGGGCAAACTGGCTGAAACTATAATAAAGAACAATATTGTCAGATATGTAGATAGACAAAATTTGTTTGGGAAGAGTCAACATGTGTTTTGTAAAGGGAAATCACCAATCTACTAGAATTCTTTGACGGGGTTAATAAGAATGTGGATAAGGGGGATCTGGAGGACATAGGGTACTTAGATTTTCAGAAAGCCTTTGTCAAGGTCCTTCACCAAAGGCTCTTAAGCTGCCGCGGGATAAGACAGAAGGTGCTCTCATGGATTGGTAACTGGCTAAAAGATAGGAAACAAAGGATAGTATAAATGGCATAAATGGTGAGTTTTCAGAATGGAGAGAGGTAAATACTGATGCCCCCCAGGGGTCTGTTCTGGGACCGGTCCTATTCAACATATTCATAAAGATCTGGAAAAGGGGGTAAACAATCAGGTGGCAAAGTATGCAGATTATACAAAATTACAAAGGAGGGTTAAGACCCAGGCAAAATGCGAAGAGCTGTTAAAGGATTTCTCAAAACTGTGTGACTGGGCAACCAAATGGCAGATTAAATTTAATATTGATAACTGCAAAGAAATGCACATTGGAAAGCATAATCCAAACTACACATATAAAATGATGGGGTCTAAATTACCTGTTACCACTCAAGAATGAGATCTTGGAGTCATTGTGCATAGTTCTCTGAAAACATCCACTCAATGTGCAGCTGCAGTCAAAAAAGAAAACAGAGTGTTGGGAATAATTAAGAAAGGGATAGATACTAAGACAGAAAATATCATATTGTCTCTATATAAATCCATGATATGCTCACATCTTGAATACTGTGGGAGGATGTGGTCACCTCATCTCAAAAAAAAAAAAGACTGGAATTGGAAAAGTTCAGAAAACGGCAATAAAAATTATTTCGTGTATGGAAGCATTTCTTTGTAATGAGAGATGCATAATACTGGGACTTTTCAGCTTGGAAAAGACACAGCTAAGGGAGGATATGGCTGAGGTCTGTAAAATTATGATTGGTGTAGAGAAAGTAGATAAGGAAGTGATATTTACTCCTTCTCATAACACAAGAACTAGGGGTGACCAAATGAAATGTATAGGCAGCAGGTTTAAAACAAATAAAATTAAGTATTTTTTTTACACAATGCACAGTCAACCTGTGGAACTCCTTGCCAGAGGACGTTTTGAAGGCCAAGACTATAACAGGGTTCAAAAAAGAACTAGATAAAATCATGGAGGATAGGTCTAACAATGGCTTTTAGCCAGGATGGGCAGGGATGGTGTCCCTAGCCTCTGTTTGCCAGATGCTGGGAATGTGCAACAGGAAATGGATCATTTGATGATTACCTCTTCTGTTCATTCCCTCTGGGGCACCTGGCACTGGCCACTGTCAGAAGACAGGATACTAGGCTAGATGGGCCCTTGGTCTGACCCAGTATGACCATTCTTA